TGAGTCCCCATCCCTGGAGGTATTTAAAAGACGTGTAGATGTGGTGCTTGGGACATGGTTTAGTGGTGGACTTGGCAGTGCTAGGTTAATGGTTGGACTCAGTGATCTTAAAGGTGCTTTCCAACCTAAACAGTTCTATGATTTTATGATTCTATGATTCTATAACTTTATATATAAAAACCTTTCTATACACCAAGCCTTGCCTGACACTCTTCCACTTATATAAATTCATCCAGCAAAGTGTTTTTCCCTTTGTCTTCACTCTCTTTCACCTCAAAAATTTCTCCCCTCATCCATAGAAATTATACGCAAACCAAGTTTGTGAGCTCTTCTGGAAAAAGCCTGTCTCTTCTTCCCTTGTGTATACAGAGCCTGGCACAATGAGAACCTGATCCCCGAACAGTGTTTTGAAGTGGTGTGTGCTCTGAGCATTTGAATACTTGAATTCTGTTTATTAGTCATAAAGAAGAGAGGCTGTGGGATCCAGTGTTGGACCAATTTATCTCTGAAGTAGTCAAACTGGTATTCTGCAAGAGCATAGAGATCTACGCCATGGAAAGGAGAACATGAACCCTGTATTCTAGCAGACTCTCTGGTGAACAAAGGACTAATTGAAACCTAAGTCTGTTTGGAGCACTCATGCATTTCAGCAGCAGTAGCTACAGCAACTAGTTCATAACTTTTTCATATTAAAAAAGAAAGTATTGCACGACTCTTCTGTACCTGCTTGGGAGGAAAATAAAACTCTAAAATTTGACCTCACTTAATAATTTCTCTGACAAGGACTTAATTTCTCTACCTGTTTGGGGAAGGACAAGATCCGCACCACCAGCTAGATGTTAGGACAGGGTTGAATACAAAAACCAGGACTATTTTTTTTTATTTCTAGGTCTAGTAACTCAGGTCTTTAGAAAGCAGCTGAATTACACCAATGATTGCTGGATCAGGTTGAGGCAAGAAGACAAATACCAACCTCACCTCAAATTTCAGCTTTATCCTTGGGTTCGCTCTGATGGAAACAGTCCTCATACTCACTTGTATCTGGCATTTGTTTCTTCAGCTCAACAGAGGAACATTTTCATTGACAACATAAGCACAGCCACAACTCATTTACCTGTGAGGTCGTCGCTGGGCCAGGAGCCGAGCTGGCAGGCTTTGCATGTGTATTCATCAAATACATATTCATTCTCTTTACAAGGAGTGCAGGTCCAACAGCAACTCACTTCTCCTTTACGGATCACCTGAGACAAAAATTGACATTTGGTTTAGCAGCATAAACATAGCAGCATTCATGCTGCCCCAGTTGCTAATTTAATTTTTTAATCTCTTTTTTTTGAAGGAGGGTTTTTTTAAATTTTATTTTAAAAAAGGATTCCTTTTCATGATATGTTTGCTTATACAAAATATGACACAAGTTCTTAGTTCTCCCATCATGTATATACCAGAAGAAAGAAACCATCAACCCCACAGAAGTGCAAGTGGAGGTACAGAATGACAATAAGATGTTTTTTCCCCTCTTAGAATTAGCAAAACTCGAAATTTCATAGATGGCAATGTGCCTACAGAAGCCAGTGCATGACACTCAAGGCATATAAATCACTCCATTGTGGTCCATACAGGGAATCATGTCAACAGCGTTATTTCCCTAAGGGCTCATTACTCAAAGATTTTTGGGTGCTTATTTTTCATCCAACTGTGAGTGATTTGTTAAAACTGATTTTTTCCAGACATCAAACTGAACATGCCTTTTCCAGGATTATTTAATTATTGCATCTCTAATTAACACTTAAAAGTGAGAATGTTATCTTTATCCATTTTATCGTCTGACCTGATTTCTCATTTTATAATTTGCTGCCAAATGTTATTGCATGCTCATGACTGAGATGCAGATTTTTCAAGATCCTTATTTATCATCTCTGGGCACTGAAAACATCTGTGCTTCTTGTCAATATGTCTTTCTTTTGAAATAAAGTACTCCCAGATTCTCTGCTCTTCCCAAACAATTTTTAAATGAATGCTCCCAATTATAACATAAAAAGTAGGTTGACTTATGTATCTTTTGCAATGATGAATTTACAAGGTGGCTTCAAAACCAGATGTCTTCATTGCAATTTTAATAAATGAAATGTAAAAGAGTATAATCAAAAAGAACTGGATTGCTCTTTGCAATGCTGCGGTGAAAAAAGTGTAAATTATATCACTTTCATCAGCAATATGGGGACTTGAAAACTTCCATTTTTGATTTTGCTTTTAAAATTGTAGAGTATGAAAAGAAAAAAATGCCACACCTGAATAGCTAAACTGGCAGAAAGGCCATGGGAGCATAAGTGATTTGCTCTGCAAGTGTTGAGACTAGAGCTACTTGCAAAACAGAATATCTGTCCTCCAGAAGAATTCACATCTTGGGATTTCTTTCAGTTTGAACTAGAATGAAAAGTTGAACAACTAACAAAATTTCTTGTGTCTGGGAAAATCAATTCTTAGAAAGCTTGTACTAATTTTTAGACACATAGTTTGGTAAACTTGATGCATTATAAAAATTCATAATTTTGCAATGTATAAAATACTCTAAAAAAATGAAATAGCAAAATAGAAACCATATGTTATTATCGAAACACCTAGACTTTTTATCAAAACAATTCATTTACACTTTTCTGTTAAACTTTTCACCAAATCAACATCTTCTATGAAATACTTGGAATTTGACAAATCTGTCAGAAAACTGGTACACTGATCATTTCTTACCCAGCACTAAGTGGGGGTTAATCCAGAGAAGGATTATGTATCCTTCTCTAGCAATCAAAATAATTGTTCTCCACTACTCAGAATCAGGTCAGACTTTTTTGTATTATATTGCTTAGTCAGCTATTTCTTCATAATTTTATTTTTCATTTCTTGAACAATTGTTTGTTGTAGCACTTAACTGTAAAATAATCATTTTTGACCCTTTTAACAAAAATAATTCTCTTTAAAACAAAAATTATTTTCCCTTCCCCTTGTCATCTGGGCAATCCTTTGAACCTGTGTTTATTTAAATAATCATATGTCCGCACTATTTCAAATGTATAGAGTTGGATTGTGTTTGGATTTTATCAAGTCCTTCAGACAGATGTACCAAATGTTGCTGAGTGTTGGATATCATTACATTGAATGCTTCAAATTCCTGCATAATAACTCAGTCCCACAGAATTCTGCAGGAAAACCACCACGGAGCTTGGCAGGGTCAAGCTCTCCCCATCATCTGTGAAAACCATGAAGATAAAGGACTGTGAAGTAAACTTTGAGATTTATAACCAATAACCTAATGAGGAGCAGAAAGAATATTTCAGACACTGGACTTCAAGCATGTGTCTAAGTGTGTGATGAATCAGCTTCATAGTGAAGAATCCTTTTGGGAGAATCCTTGAGAGCATGGGCAGAAGGTGGAAGGAGACTGTGTTAATGAAGATCACAAGATACTTCCCATCACCTGTGTTGTGGCAACAGATCATAAGGGAACTCAGAGCTGCCCAATTCTGACATTATTATCTGTTTGTCCATCTCTATCCTCTCACATGTTTTCAAAGCCTACATGAGGATGAGATGACTCCTGATCTGCAATAATATATTATTTCCATTGACTATAAAGAAAGTTCAGAAATCTGATATAACTGTATATGCCTACACCAGACATTTGATCTGATGAAACTCGCTTACTGACTGCCAAAGACCAGTTAGTGAATAAAATATGGTGTCTGTGTCCTAAAACTCTGGAAAACTCAGACTGAAGAGATTCACTTTGTGTTGCAGAGCATGACCAGCCTCCCATCAGCCCCTCACTGTAGCTGCTTCCCAGTTTTGCAGGCATGCCATGTTAACACAGGAGAAAAGTGATCCAGCTTCCAGTGAGACATGTCAGAAATTACAGCTGCTTTTTTTCAGTCTGAGCCACTCTGTTGCCCATGCCCACCCCCTCAGTCCACAGGTTTTTTATATAAATGACTGCAAGGTAAGCTAAGGACTTGCAGTATTTTAACTCTTCTGCAGTTAAGTGTCATGGGATGCTGAAGGACGATAGAGAACAATTAATACATGACAGATTCATCTGCCCTCCTTACTTACTGCAACATGGAAAGGGAGGAAGGAAAAAATCAAAAACCTGGGGAACAAAGAAGCAGTAAAACAGGTATGATTAAAAAAAAATGTTACCTACATTTCCTGAAGTTCTAAGTAGTGGTAGTTATCGATGTTCTTTGATGATACCACAGACTTAAGGTCTAGGTAATAATGTTGCAGTCTAGGTGTCTATGTCTAGCACTGAAATAGTAGCAATTATTATTTATAATTTACCTGCAATTGTACTGACAAGTCCCAGTCAAGGATTTGCACTCCACTGAATCAGATGCTGTAAAAATATGTAGCAAAAAACCCCCAAACAATACCTGTTCTAAAGCATTTGGAATATAAGTATAAAAAAGTCATCAGTTCACAGATATAGGAGTACAAGAAAATGGCAACTTATGAAAATAGTGAGATGACTATGATACGTGTAAGAGCTAAATACATAAGTCTGTACATTTTAATTAAGGTGCGGGATACTGTCTCCATGTAAGGGTCAAGAAAAACCTGCTTTCAAATTTCAAGGCTATGCATTCTACGTGACTGAAGTAAATGGAGAAAATATTTACCTTTATCTGGCCTTTTTCGCAGGGTTCACTGCACACAGATCTGATGATATTATTTTTCTCTGACCATATTTCATCATCGTCCATTTTCAGCTCACCATTGTCCCAGCTGCCAACATTGATATAATCAAAGTAGTCCTTCCCCATTTTCTTAAAATTCATGATTTCATATCTTTGGAAACACAAAGGGGAGACATAGCTGAGTTGAGGAGAACATCATGAAATATTTCAAATAAAAGGAACACTATACAGCCAAAATCAAGCTTGGTGAATAAAGAAGGCAAAATTTCAAGCATCATGCTTGCCCTTGAGTCTCTCCCAATAATTTTTGTGATATCATAATCTTTCTTTTCCTTTGTATTTTAATTTGTTTTCTTCTATCACCATGAAAGTTCCCTGAACACTTTGGGGTTAAGTGACTGAGCTTCTGAGAATGACTGTATTTATTTAAGGAGAACAATGAAATGAGCCAGACAGGATTCAACCTGTGTAACCTTCAGCACTGAAACCAACTGCATAGGGAACCCTACCTGTCCTAGGCTCCCTCTATAGCAGATGCAGAGAAATCTAAACCTATAATGGCAATTCCCAACGCTAAGTGCTCCTCACTGTCTGCAGGTGCTTATTTCCCTCCTGAGAGAGGAAGCCTGAAGACAGCTAAGCTCCTAAAGTGCAACCTAGGCCAAAAGAAATTCCTGTGCTGTAAGACTGCAAGATGCAATTTAGTGTGGCACTCAGAGGGGAATCAGGCATCATTCTTCAGGCACAGACTCCAGGACTCTGGGACTTGCTGGAGGCTTCAGGGAGGTCTTCTTATCAAGAGGCACCTTGTAGTCCAGGCATTTGAAGAATGAAGTTGAGACTTGCTTCTTTTTTTGCCTTTTTCTTCTACAGCATTGCAGCAGCAAATGCTACTCTCTCACATCCATACACCCCCCTTCATTTTTATATAATTCCTCAGTGATCAGAACACATTTAATTCCTTGTACAGTATGGTATGGAAGAGAAAGAGTATTCATGCCTCAGTCCTAGGCTGCTTTTGGGTCAGATCACCTCGTTATCTGGGAACAGAAGTGTTAAGAGCAGAGCTAGAGCTGATCAGAGTTTTCAGGTTCATGTTCCTCTTCCTCCTTCTTTCTTTTTATCTCCCACAGAGTCTTACAGAAAGTCTGCGGAGCAGCGTAGGACTCACTAGCCTCCTACTGGCGTGCTGAACGCCAGGCCACCTTTCTGTCTTACAGGCCTGTTCTTTTAGCACTTATTTGCAAGGCATGTTTGGCAAGTTGGGGAACTCCTGAAGTGATGATGTCATGCTTTTCTTTACCTCCTCTTTAGTGGGTTTTGCAGCTATCTGACTAAGCAACATGAAATTCACTGATGGAAAATGAGCAAATCATACAGACTGAGAAGATGAACCCAATCATAGGTTTAAAAAAACTGCCTGGTTCATAAACAAGGAGACAACTTTTTCCTGGCAGCAGGCACAAAATTAGACCCCAAGGCAAAGCATATGGACAGGGTTGTATTAAGATTGATACTGTCAGACTGTAATTTGTGAAGTCCAATGTATAGATAAGTAAAAGAACCAGCACATTAAATCAAGCTATCTCATACATAAGATACTGAAGTATCTCATCTTAAGTTTTGAGAAAACACTTTTAAGACTGACAAACAGTAGCCATATTATATTTAGCATCAATATTTTTCCGAGGCTGACATAAAAATAATTATGGTAAAACTCTTCTATGATATTCTCCATCCATGGATCTCAGAATGCTTTGCATCAGGAAACAAAGTATAACTGTCACAGTGGAGAAACTGTGGCAGGGGTTCAGTGCCAAAATCACACACAGGTCAGGATTAGGACTGCAAGCAACCTGTGAAAGAAAATGAAAGTGGAGCCTGACTGGATGGGCAATATGATATTACCCATATCATGAGAGTCTTGAGTATTTCCAAAAGAAGAAAAAATGAGCAATGACAGAGGTAGGAAGAAAAATTTATGATAGTCCTGCATTTTGGAATATTTCACTTTCCATCCTGTATAAAGAAGAAAATATCCATAGCTTTGAGAATGATCTCATCAAAGTTGGAGATGTGAATACCGGACTGACAGAAATGAACTGAATCCAGATAACACACACACAAACTGAAATAAACAGGCTTTTATGCATGGTCAGAAAACAAGTTTTTTTTCTGAGGTTCATGGGCATAGTAACAGTCTGCTCAAGGATTAAACAGACTAACCAAAAAGTTAGCCCAGAAGCCTCTCTGGGGTCTTTATTCAGCATTGTCAGGACATTGTAACACTCCTCTGAGTATTCCTTTGTTAAAGCTGTCAGTTCAGACTTTTATGGGCAGATGAACAAAAGTACTGCCAATGCTTAAACAGGCCACAGGAACTAAAACAACTGTCCTTCCAGTAGTAGTTCCATGCATTCATCCCAAGGGGAATACTGGAAAGAAACCTGACAAATTAAACTATTGCCACAATATGTTGTCTCTTGCAAGCCCTCTGTAGAGAACCACATTGGTGGACTGATAGTAATAGCCAGACTCAGTAAGTCCATTGCTATAGTGAAGGTTCATGAGTCACTGGTTCCCTGGAGCTTCTTAGAGATATGTGCTGGTTTTGTCTGGGATAGAGTTAATTTTCTTCACAGTAGCTAGTATGGGGCTGTGTTTTGGATTTGTGCTGGAAACAGTGTTGATAACACAGGGATGTTTTCG